CCGCGCCCGCTCCAGCGCGCCAGCACATTGCGGGTCTCCCAGCGGGATGGCGCGGCACTTTGCAGGCTTGATCACCAGGCCTGCCAGGAGCTTCGCGCCACGGAAGACTCGGGCCAGCGTATACAGCCCACGCTGGGACATCACCGCCGCGCCAAGGTCGCCAGCGCACCACCTCGAGATGCCCCGCCGCTTGGAGTCCAGGTTGGATTTCAGGTCCTGGCCGAACGGGTGGGCGGCGAGGACGAACAGCGTGCCGCTGGCGGGGTCGCCTTGAAGGATGCCCGAGCGCACCGAGTAGAGCGCCGCCTTCGAGCGGGAGGCCGCAAGGGCGACGACCCCGTCGCAGTTGACCTTCAGCGCGCCCTGGAGACCCTGGGGGGCGCCCATGGCACGCAGCGAGCCGAAGAGCCAGTCCTGCGCGATGCTCGGGAAGGCCTGGGCCCAGTCGAAGGAGACGACGAAGGGAGAGTCGGAGCTCCCCGCAGCCATGGACAACACTCGGGAGTGCGAGTCCAGCTCGACTATGTTGTCGCAGAAGTTGCGCCCGCAAATGAAGCCGCGCTGCGTGTCCACGCAGTGCCGCTCCGCCATTCTCTTCATGCATGAGTTGAGGGCCCACATGACGGCCTTCTTGGAGGTGTTCTCCAGCGCAAGCGGCCGAGTCTCGCCGGCGCGCCTGAGGACTTCATGAGGGTCATCAGCACGCGTCCCCTTGGCGGGGAAGACGGCGACGGTGTAGTTCCACTCCTGGCGCATGGGGAGGCCGTCAAGCTGCCACGCCAGAGCGTCCGCCAGCGTCTCGACCCCCATCGGCGTGGCGAGCCAAGCCTTAGCACCGAGGCCGTCGGGGCCAGGGGCTGACTTGCGGGCATTGCGGAGAGCCAATGCCACGGCGTGCGCCGAGGGGGGCTCGATCGAGGCCCAGTCAGCACCCTGGATGCCGTAGCGGTGGAGGTATCCATCCTGGAGTTCCCGTCGGCGCTGGACAGCACGAGGAGCCTCTCGGGGGAGGGGTACCATGATGCCGTCCTGGAAGGTCATGGGGCCGCCGTTCGGGTGGGTGCCAAGGTTGCGCATCATCTCTTCCGCAGACGGCTTCCGCTTGACCACGTCGTCGCCGAAGACTCCTCGCCAGTAGTGCGCAAGCGCCCTCTGTATGTCCTGCTCCGATCGTGCCACCGCGCCGTCGTCCAGCTCGATGCCACCCAGGAAACGTCGGGCCGGCGATGGCGCCCACATGGCCGCACGCCGACGAAGGGCCCTCTGCTGCCCGACCAACGCTCCCTTGTTGGACTCGCGCCGTTCCCCGTCAATGTCATGTTGTTGCTGGCGGAGTCGGGCTTGCATCTCACGGTGTTGCGCCAGGCGGTACCGACGAGAGAAGCCCTGAGGGTCGAGGAGCACCACCTGGTCTCTGCCCAGACCTGGGTGATGACGAAGCTCGATCATCTGGCTTGTCAATGCATGCTGTCGCAGTAGGGCCTCTGCCATCCGAGAGTCCTGACGCGATATCGCTCGACCAAGTTGCCTCCGAATCAGCGCCGTCGGCGCCCGCATACCAGGTTCACCACGAAGAATGGCATCACGGGTGGCGGCCGCTGCCGTCTGCAGTATCTTCGTATGGTAGTGTGCCCGATCGGGAGGAGAGAGGTCATCCAGGGGGACCGCGTTCTCGTACTTCCTGATCATCTCGCCGAACAGCGGATTCTCCGCGACGAAGGACGGGGCGGGGTTGATGACGCCCGTGGTAGGTCTCTTCCTCGCTGGGCGGGGAGTCCACGCTACCGAGAACATCGCGTGGTCCGAGAGCCCGTCGAGGTGCATCTCTTGTGGCTCCCCATGCACCTGCCCATGCTGAAAGGTCTGCATGAGTAACGAATTCTCTGCCTGGGTGCCAGTGCGTCGGCTTGTTAGGGACCATCTCCGTCGCAGCACTGAGCGAGTGAGCCCATGCGCGGCCGCGGGAGTGCGATGCGGCCCTGCGCCCGCCTCCGGGGACCAGGGGGTCCTCCACCTCGACATTCTCGCCGTAATTGAAGTCGCCCACGATCACCACACAGCGCCTCCTCGGGCCCACTCCCATGTCACGTAGATCAGCCTGGAGCTCGCAGCGACACGCCGAACCTGTTCGCGGGATAGGTCGTGGTCATGAATGTTCCAGTGTTTCAGAGTGTAGCCAGCGCATGGCCCGTCCGTGATCGTGGCCGTAACGCGGATCACCCGAGCCTTGGTGGAGTACGTCTTGCGCAGGTCCAGGCCCGCGCGCTCCTTGAAGGGGAAGATGGTGGCAACGCCTCCAAGGGACTCGTCAGCATTGTCACCGAAGGAGTAGAACATCTGGTAGTCCGTCCCCAAGCGATCTATCAACATGCGCAGGCGCACGGCCGACCCGTGGACCTCCTGCATACCGACGATAGCCCCTGCTCGGAGTGCGTTCCCTAGGTAGTTGCTCTTGCGTGCCGCCACGTTCGCCTTGTGGCGACAGAATGCCCTTGCATTCCAGGTGGCGAAGGTGAGCCCCTTGCTCATCGGGGCGGCGAAGAGCTTGACGAACGTGCTAAAGACACCAATCACCATCACCAGGAGCCAACGCCGCATCGACCGTCGGCGCCAGGTCCTCACGTCGCAGCCCGAGTGCCGAAAGCGCAGATGGGGACCAGGACACCGCAGGGGTGGAGTTGGGGCCGTCGATGGAGAGGCGGAGGAAGGACTTCCACTGGGACGAGAGGGAGAACTTCTGCTTATCGGTGAAGATGCGGTGCCCATCGCCGATGACACGCCCCAGCGCGATGGCGAGCTTCTTGAGCGTGAGCTCGTGCATGACCTGCTTGCGGTTCTGGTCGGGCGCCACGAAGACGCCCACGTCATGGCCAGCAGGTGTCGTGGTGCGCGGCTTGCGCCACTCACCGCGGCCAAGCACCCCAGCACCTTAGCAGCCCGCCTTGCCCCGAGCTCGGGGGGGGGCCTTGAAGCGGAAGACGCAGCGCTTGCCGAGGGGCTCCGCTTCCACCACGAACGAGTCGGGGGCCATGCCCGCGTCCGCGAGGAGGGGGTCGATGACCTGCTTGAAGCCTGCAGCGGGGAGCTCCTCCTTGCACCGAACCACCACGGCAGATAGGTCTGGAGGGCGATCCCAGCCAGGGCCAGCAGGGGCAGCGCAAGGCTCCACTCTCGCCATGATGCCCATCTGCTCGCGGAGCTGCGCGATGTCCTCCCGTAGCTGCCTCTCGATGTCGAACTGCTTCTGCTCAACTCCATGAAGGCGTCCTTCGACGGCACCGACACGCGCTTCCATGACTCCCTGTGTCTGCGCCAGGCCCGCCGTGAGGGTGGCGTCGACGCTGGCAACGACCGCGGATGTGACAGCGGAGGTGATGGCGGCCTGCACTTGCTGGAGGAGGGCGGCCTGGGTGGCGTTGGGCAGGACAGCATCCTCAGCGGCGCCAGCATCACCAGATGCCGTCGTCGCAGGAGAGGCCGCAGGAGCTGCCCCATGCCGTAGGTCGCGCTGGGGAGCAGCATGTGCGGGAGGATGGCCACGACTGGGACCCACTGCTGCAGCACGACCCGCGGGGGCCCCGCCGTTGCCCATGTAGGACCTCCACGGGTCACCACCGACGCCAGCTTCAGGACAGGTAGCGTCCCTGGCGGCAGCTCCCCCGACACCAGCCTCACCCCCGCCCTGCGATGGGAACGTGGCCAGCATGTCGAGGTCAATACCGTCTCTCTGCATCTCGATGGCCGCATCTGCAGCCCGCTGTCTCCATCTCTCCTCGTTGGAGGCCTTCCTGTCGCCTTTTTCCCCGACGGCCAGGAGGGCCAGCATGGCCAGCAGGCGGCGCAGCAGCACCAGGGCGCACCAGCCGTCCACGTTCCGCTGGGGGCGCCTTGCGGCGCTCGGATGCCCTCGAGTGGGACTTGGATGATCGCGTCCTTGAGGTCGAGCGCCCGCTGCAGCTGTGGGAGTCCTCCGAGTCCAGGCGGTGCTTCTCGGGGCTCCCTGCACCAAGCATGGCTCTGCACCTGGATGCGTTCGGGCCGACAGGAACGGGAAAGGCCTCCGTTTACCCACCGACCCGAGCGCGGGAAGGGTGGCCAGAAGACGATGCCAAACTTCAAGAAGTCTTGCCTGCCGCGGTCTAGCGGTATCCGCTTGGTTCCCCGAGGAAACCTGCATCTTGAGCCAAAATGGCTACGGAAGGAGGAGGAGGAGGAGGAGGAGGAGGAGGAGAAGGAGGAGGAGGACGGGGGAGGGACCAGGAGGGAGCAGGAGAAGAGCAGGAGGAGGCAGGAAGGGAGAGGAGGGCGTCTAGCCATTCTCCATGTCCGCCTTCTCCTCCTCCTCCTCCTCCTCCTCCTCCTCTTCCTCCTCATCCTCCTGTCTTCCTCCGCCTCCTCATTTGTTGCGTTGAACGAATTTTAGCAACAGAGCTGTAGAGTTCGTCCCCCTCCTCCTGGCCCCCCTACTTCTCCTCCTCCCGAAGTGGGACTCCATTCGAATTCCCCCCAGTCCTCGTCCAAAAGCGGAGGAACCACGATCACACGACGACAACAATGACGAACACGAAAACGAAAACGACGACGACGACGACGACGACGACGACGACGACGACGAAGACGGCCGACCTACGGTCGCCCCCCGTCCGTGAGCAAAAAGCCCAGCAAGGGAAACGGGAGGGGCAGGGGGACTGGGATGGGAAACCAGGAAGCGAAGGGATACGGAAGAGAAGGAGGAGGCAGAGGAAAAGGATGAAAAAAAACGACGACGACGACGCCGCCGCCGACGCTAGTCGACGCCGACGCCGACGGAGACACAATCGACGACGACGACGACGACGACGACGACGACGACGACGACGACGACGACGACAACGGTGACGGCGACGGCGACGGCGGCGGCGATGGCGATGGCGATGGCGACCGCGACGGCAACGGCAACGGCGACAGCGACGGCGACGGCGACGGCGACGGCGGCGCCAACGATCCGCTGACCAACGGTCCTCGTCGGTGAGCTTCAACTCGCCGCGTTGATTTCCCGAGTGGCGATGATCTAGCGTCAGGTCGTTCAGCCGTGAGGCCTCGGGAACGACCCCGCCGCTCATGCTCGTCCTCGCCACCTTGCTCCTCTTCATGCTTCCTCCTCCTGCCTCCTCCGCCTGTCTCCGCCTCCTCTGTTGTCCTCCTCCTCCTCCATGTCCTCCTCCTCCTCCTCCTCCTCCTCCTCCTCTTCCTCCTCCTCCCCCGTAGCCATGTTGATCAGCGGTTAGCTTTGGCTGTTCGCCGCAGCCAAGGCTCAGACCATTTTGGCCACGTTCCGTCCACAGCAGCGCGTGGACCACCCGCCCCAGCCGCGGGGCCTTCTTGCACTACTCGCCCTGGGATTCGTTCTAGCGCGTATGATGGAAGCGGCATAGTGCGGGGCAAAAATCTCGCATGCCCCTGGCACAGTTGCAGCGGCTGGGCCTGGGCTGATAGAGGATCTTCGCGCTGCACCAGATGCGACACAAAGCTCGCTTCGAAGAAAATGTCCGCAGGAGATGGTGTGTCTGCCACAGGCGCCCCTCCTCGGTCGCAGCGGCCGCGTTCTGTCTCATTCGCAGGAGACGCAAGGCAGCCAAAGGCAGGGCGAGGACGGTGGCGAGCAAGATCCCGAGACCCCCATGCAGCAGTACAGTCAGCGTCAGCAACACCTGATGCCGAGCCTCACCCTGCCGGATGTCAGCCCGCCAACGCCGCCAAGCCTGTCGTGGAGCACAGCGCCGCCATCGAGTTGGCACAGGCACAAGTGGCGTTCTGGAAGCAGTGGAAAGGAGATGGCAGCAAGGAGTATCGTGATGCTGTCGAATGTCTCAAGCATGCGAAGCAGTGTGCCCTCCAAGAAGAGCCGCCAGGTCCAGAGCCTCACGGACCAGCTCGGACAGGCCAAGCGCAAGCTCGGCCATAGCAAGAGCACGGCCAACCAGCTCACCCAACAGTTGGTCACAATCGAAGAGGAGCACGCCAGAGCTTTGGACGACTACCAGGAGGCGCACAAGGACGTGCAGCGCCTGCAGGCGCAGCTGCAGGTGGCCCAGCACGCCGCGGCCCAGCGCATGGCGCAGGAGGTGCCGATGTCAGATGCCATGCGCTCTCTCATCGCCGCGAGGACAGATAAGCCTGCTGGGCACATTCCAAAAGAGCTCGACCAGCACCCCCTGGCCATGGCGAAGATTCTTGAGTCCATCCAGCACCAACAGAAGTCGACGGATGAGATCAAGGCCGAGGAGCGCGCTGACGATGACGAGGACCCAATTCCAGGAGTGGGCCAGGATCCTAAGGGGGCGTCCACCAAGGCCAAGGTACCCCCAGATGCCGCTGCTCTACCTGCTCCCAGCGACGACGACGCGCAGATGGATGCCGCCAGGAAGCGCGCAGCCGAGCAGCTCGTCAACTGCAAGGACAACATCGCCAAGCAGGAGCTCCACGGCGAAGAAGCCAGCAAAAAGCTCAAGCTCTCGGCGGAGACTGCTGCTGCCCAACATGTCGCAGAACGTCCTGCGATCCCAGCGCGTGGGTAGCAACCTCCGCAGCACCAGCATCAACGGCAGCTGATGGCCGCAGGTCAAAGAGTACATCCTCTCTGAGTATGCCACAGATGACCGCGTCATGGCAAGCATGGCAAGAGCCTGGGTGGCTTTCAGCGCGCGCTGGAGCGGCGCACGGCGATCCTAGAGAACCGCCAGGAGAAGGCCGTGCGCATCCATCGGCAACATGCCGAGATACCAAACGGCTGGATGGAGGACGAGTTGCGGAGGCCTCAGCGAGAGACGGATAAGATTGGGGCGAAGAATTCCGCCCACATGGCGGAGCTGCAGCTCGAACTCGGCGCGGCGGCAGCGGGCGCTCCGCAGCCGCCTGAAGCCGGGCCAGCCTGGAGCCGTGAGATCGACCGTGCGGGTTTGGTCGTCACCTCCAAGGCCCCACTCATGCGCGTGGCGGCGGAGCAAGCCATGGCGCCCGTGCTCGGCGACGCGCAGCTCGCTGACGTCTCCCGGGCTGAAGGTGACGACCTGGGCCAATGCATCGTGGTCAGGATGGCGGGCGACGTGGGCCTGGCAGAGCGCCGTGTCCGCATGCTCGTGGCCACGCTCCGCGGTGGAGGGGGCCGCGACCCCGACGGGCCACGCCGCGCCGCTGTCGCTCAGTAAGGATAAGAAGTCGCACCAAGTGTCATAAGAGAGCATGCTCAAGAGGATGCGGCGGGCACTCGAGGAGGGCCCTTCGGAGCGCATCTTCGTCGACCCCGTCGGCCCTGCCCAACTGGAGGGCACGCTGTCATTGGCGTGGCAGCCACTGGTCAAGATCGCGATCGAGGGCCCTGGTGCACCTTCTATTGTCCAGTGGAATGCCGCCGTCCTCCGTCTTCATCAGCTCCCTCGTGAGCAACTGGAGCAACTGGTGGAGCTCGTCCTGGTTCCGACGACTGCGGCGCGGTGCCTTTGACACCGCCCGCAGAGGGCGACGACGGCGTGACGAGGGCGCCGCAGTACCTAGGGGGAGGACCCGATCATGGCGACGCTGCCGCAGTGCCAGGAGCAGGACCCGTTCATGGCAACGCTGCAAGGCCCCAGACGGCCGCGGTTAACTTCGCGCTCACCCGGGCCACGTGGGACATGCGCGCGCTGTGCCACACCAGGTCGGACAAGGCGATAAACAGGGAGGATTTCCTGGCCAAATCTTGGAAGCGTGACTCGATCATCCTGGGCTTCCAGGAGGTGCATGGCTCACATGTCCATCTGATCGAGCTGCAAAAGTACGTGGGCTTCCGAGCTCGAGGCTGTAGCTCGCCACCGTCTTTACTATGAATAGGGCCGATGATGAAGACGGAGTGCAGTGGGATAAGTCTATACTGATTCACGGCAGGGTTATGCGTATCCCTACTCGGTTCAGTGATGGCTCGGGGAGATCCTGCTCGCTCGTTCACAACCACGGCCTGGAACGCGGAACCGAGCGCCGTGCCGAAGCGGCGCTCGCGGTGGACCTGCTTGAGGCGAAGCGAGACCACATCGCGGCCACCGTGCTCATCGTGAGCGCCTTCATGTTCGGCGACAAGCTGGAGCTCTGCCATTTCGGCGACGAAGGTTCCCCGCGATCGGTTGCGACAGCTCGGCACCCGTAGGAACAACGATCGCAACGCTGCAGGGGGGATGCCGTGGAGATGGTGGCTCCTAGAGCGACCCACTGGCATGCCGAGCTCCAGATCGCGACCAGAATCGACCGCGTCTTCCTGGGCGTCCCGTCCTGGCTGGTGGCGCAGCGCTTCCAGTGCGAGGTGCTCGGTGAGCCTGAGGAGCTGCACAGGGACGACATCAGCGACCACGCGCCAGTCCTGGTCTCGTGGATGTGGTGCCCTCTGCGTCCTGGGGACCCCTTTAGACCTGCCCCGATCCACCAGGAAATCGTGAATTCGCCCATGTTCAAAGAAAAGTTGGCTCAGTATGCGCGCCAGCACGTCTCGTTGGCGGAGCGGTTCCTCCTCCACCACTCCTGGCTGGCCGAGCTGCTGGACGTCGACGCGTCGAGGGGCGATGTGGCGCTGAAGGACCACGCGGATTTCCACAGGCGCTTCGCAAAGGCGCAACGTCATGAGGCCTGGGCCAGGAGCGAGGAGATTCAGGCCGAGCTGGAGGCAGGCGAAATCAGCAACGGTCGACGGCTCTGCGGACAACGCCGTGCCCTGCAACGGCGCGCGGCCCTTCCTCGTCGGCATCTCGCGGCGGTGGAGGTCACTGATGGCCGGCTCGTCACGTCGCCGGAGGAGATACACGAGGCGCTGGCGAACCACTCCAGCGAGGTGTTCTGCCCCTCCGCGGTCGCCGCGCGGCATGGGGCGGCGGCGGCGCGCGGGTCGGGGGCTGGTGACCTTGGGCAGCCTGCTGAGGGCGCCGGCAGGTCACCGACGCGGTCTCATGAGACGCTGGAAATTCCGTTTTCTAGTCAAGCAAAACGTTTTGCATTGAAGCAAACTGGGAAACAAGTTTTGCTTGCGAGACCAGTGTGTTTCACGCGGCGTGGGGGGAACAGGAGGGGCAGGAGGAAGAGGAGGACGAGGAGCAGGAGCAAAAGGGGGTCCACGCGTCGCCGTCGCCATGCTCGTCGGCGGCGGCGCCAGCGCTGGCGGCGGCCTGCGGCAGCGGCGCGGTGGCCTCCATCGGCGATTTCCCGGGGGCGACGGCCTGGCGGCGGGCCGGCCGGCGGCCCGGGAGGGAAGGGAGGGAGGGCCCGAAGCGGAGGCCCGAGGCCCGCTGCGGCCTTCTCGTGACAACGAACGTGGCGCAGGCCTGGCGAGGGTTCGGGTCGACCACTCCTTCCTCCAGTCCTTCTCCCCACTTCCTTCTCCTTACAAATACTTCCTCCCTGTCGCACCTCGAGACCGGCCGAACAGGCGGGCCAGGCGTTTCGCTTGACATGTCCTCACCATTCATGATGATGAAACTTTAAAGCTGGCAACAGCTTCGGGGATGGAAGGCAGATCGCTTTCAAAATACGACTCTCGTTTCGCGTCGCGCGCACTCGTTTTCAAAAACTGCTAGAAAACACTGACTGATGGCGGGCGGTTTCAAAATGTGGCTCTCGCTCTCCGCAACACACACGTGTCTAAAGCATGTGCAAAGGTTTCACTAAATGAGGACGGGTCATTTTCAGAAAGTGTGTTGCCTAGTCATCACGAACACAGGCACAATATTTGCCTGGTTAGTCACATCAAGATGTTTCTGTTCATAATAGTACTGTGCAGAATGCTCGAAGGAGGCCGTGAGGTTCCAACGGATTGACGATGAACCATGGCTTATAATCCGTTAATCAGCAAATGTATCCGCGCGTGCGCAAGCCAGCCGGCCGGCCGAGAGACTGGGGAGAGGCCGCGCGAGCGCTCCTCTTCGATGCAAAGATATAGCTGCGGAGACCCGCAACACTCTTCGCTGATCTAGCCCCGCCAATCCTCATTGGGAGGAAGGAGGCAGCGGTGATGCAACTAGCGAGGGGAGCGATAGTAATGACTCCGCCCGCGGTTTCCCGGCGCAGCATCGCCGCGCGCGGGTGGACGTAAACGCAAAGTGGCTAACTCCCCGAACCAAAGAAGCGGGGCGCGCCAAACAGCTTCGGCAGGTCCCGAGAGCCGAGGGCGGACGTCACCCCTTCCCAGGGGCCACTCTGCGCCCCCCACGGCGCAGACCCCAAAGAAAATGTTACAGCTCACGTGGAAGGGAAGGGAGTACTCCCACCACGGCCCTGCGGGACTAGGGAAAACCACTCGGCATGTCCCACCCTCGGCGCGATTGACGCGCTGGCGCCCGCCGCCCTGCGTTCAGCTCATAATGCTATCAGCCTGTCGAATGCCTATGCGCGCCAGCACGCACGGGGCACCGCCCCGAAACGTGCAGAGGCAGATCGATTGGGGAATTGCCCCAAAACTAGCCCCCTGCTCTGTCATCGCATCGCCACTACGCCTGACCATCGCGCCTCTGATTGCCCCAGCTCCCGCGGCTGTTCCAGCCCTGCCAGCTGCTGGAGCCCCCCGATGAGTGCCACGAGGACCTATGGTTACCTTCGTCAGGACGCCACGGAGGACGCGGGGTTGCCGCCTCCGCGGTCTGCCTCCAAGTGGCGGTCTGTCGCTGCCAGGGGGGGTGGGCGCCTCTCTCTCTGCGGCGCCTCCACTGGCTGGTCGCCCCTTCGAGGTGCTTCAGTCAGCCGCGCTCGCACGCCCGAGAACCCACGCCTTGCGATGTAGGGGCCAGACTTGGAACTGGAAGCTCCCATCGGGCGCAGCGCGCGTAGCGGGGTCCTCAGATCCTGCCCCCATACCGCGTGCTGCGCCTCGCGCCGACGAAGCACCGCCCGTCGGTCCGGCGGCCCCCGGCCCCGTCGACGCTTCTGGACTCGCCCCGCTTTCCAGCTGTACTATAGCTCCCCGATGCCCACGCTATGACAGAGCGCGAACTGGGCGGTGACAGGCGGGATGCACTGGGACGCTTGCGATTCGTCGAAGATTGCGCGCCGCGCTCAGACGAACTGCTGACGCCGCCAGCAGGCGCGCGGCCTTCACCTTCGGCAACCCTGCGGTCGACCCCCCAGGGGGCTTCCAGTGCTCCTCGAGCTCGGCCTACATCTCGTCTTTTAGTTCGTCGAGCGCTCGGATCTCGTGAGTGACGCTGACCGTTGCTCGCCATCGTTCGCATCCCATCGACGGGCACTCAGCATCTGCATCCGATGGGCAGCTGTTACTCCTATCCAAGGGTTCGAGAATCGAGAAGTTCTCCCCAGAAGGAGCGATCCGCCTGCTAATGTATGGCTATGGTAGCCACACACGAGGTGCCACAGTAGCAGGGGTCCCGCCACGACCAGTAGCGTAGCCAGCGAATGCCAAGCTTCCGAGCCTTCATCTGCAGCCAGGCGTTGATCTCTGGTGGCGACGCGTCATCCCTGGATTTCGGGCGCCACGCAAGGACGGACATGATGTTGCGTCGGAGTGCCGTCTGTCCCCGTAGAGCCCCTTCGCGCCGACGCAGTACCTCAGAGGGCTTGAACCAGTCGACCTCACTCTTAACGGTTCTTTTCTCTGTCATGCGACCTTGCGCCGAGAATTTCACGGCCCCAGATGGCTGCGCAGGACCGGGGACACTGCCCCCGGTCTCTCTGCCCAGGCTCCGCGGTTTTGCTGGTCACATGGCGAGGGGCCGTCCGGCATCTTCCAGAACGCGGCCTTGTCGAAGATCCGCGAAGAAACCGTTGCCAAGCATTGGCCGGACAGTCTCGCCGGGCCATCTCCATCGAAGACGCAGGCGTCGAGGCCATCGGACCATCAGCAGAATATGCCCGAGACCAACCGTTCGGCCGAAGCCATCCGGGACCCTGGTTCGGAGGGTCGCCGACAAGGCCGCCTGAGGTCCGTTCAATGAGATCCATGACTTCTCTGGCTGCATCTCCTCCGCCCCTGAAAACGTCGTCGTCAAGGGGGGGGTCCATCGGCGCGACTGGAACGGCAGACGTGAACTTGCACTGGCCCCTGCCCTCGATGCCCCGTTCGGGAGCGATCATCCGATTGACCGTCGACTGCAAGACGGACGGGGGGTCGAGAGGCACCGCCATGGCCGCTTGCAAGTACTTGTCAGTTGGCTCGCACCGGAAGTAGAGCCGCTCTGGCGAGACCGCTCGCAGGGAGTGACCATGGCACGCCCGAAACAAGATCGGTCTACGGGTGGGCCGCACGATGTCCTAACCGTCGATGGCACTGCCATCGCGAGGTCGTTTTCGCCCAAGGCCCCCATCCCAGCGACGAGGCCGGGCAGCCGAAGCCGTCGACTTCTTGCATCTGCGCGCAGAGCACATGCACTGCCTGGGCATCGCACCCAGGGCGCGCAGCAGTCGGGCCCATGGCCTGTCGCACCCTCCTAGGCGAAGGGTCTCGACGACGCACTTCGCCTCAAGCCAGCCCGCAGAACCAATGACATCTGCAGAGCTGTCTCTCGCAATGTTCAGAAGTAGCGCGCCTAAGCGCGCGGCATCTTCAACTCCAGCGCCACTGCGCCACGCGTGGAGGCGGCGATCTACAGAGGGGAACCCGAAGAAAAAAGTGCGCGACGCAGTGGGCACGCCCGGAGACATTCATCCGCCGCTTCTCCTACATCATCTTTCATGTCGCAGAATATTTCCAGGAGAGCGTCACCCGTAAATTATTTTTCCTCGTTGGCAGGACGGCCCATCGGGTCGTCTTCGCTACGATGCGAGACGGGCAGAGCAGGGCCCGAGCTACGCGCGGCCTCCAATCTCCTCGCGGTCGTCGAGTCGACCATCAATAAAGCCACTTCCTCCTCGTCCAGGGCAGGCAGCAGGGGGCTCTCGTCTCACCGCGCGCACTCGGCGCGCTGCCGCCCCCGACGCGCCGCGACCCCACGCTCGCCCAACAGCTCCCTCTGCCCTTCTCTGGAGATCTGCGGGCCTTCCGGAGGGTCTGGCGCGCCGGCGAGTCGGAAGCGCCCCGCTCCGAACACTGCGGGCAAAGCTTTTTGCGCGAGCATTGTGGGGGTTGGATCGGGAGGAATGTAGCCCGAACCAGCGTTGATCCAACGTCGAACTATAGAGGCAGCAGCAACCGGGATGGCACGGCCACCGGGTTCAGGATTCGTCGTCTGTCGCTCCTGTTGCAGTCCGCCATCGGGCACTGACTGATCTTCCGAATCTTTTCCTTCCTCAGAATTGAGATTCTGACTCGGCCGCCACAGTCTACAATGAAATACATGCACGCGCGCGCCAAGGAATTGCTCTATCCCAGCAGGATCCGCCACGGGCGGGCCCTCGGGGCCCTGGACTGGCGCAGGTGGTTGGACATCCGAGCCCCAATCGGCATCCAAGTCACGGGCGACTGCCACAAGAACCGAAGGAGGCGGGGGATCCGTAGAACGGCCACGGGTCGCCGCCACATCGACAACCGATGGGGCAGATTGGGCGGACGGTGACCTGCTCCCGATATCGTGCTCCTCGTCATCGGAGAGACCAGATCCACGTCTTGCACGTCGGCCTGACGCATCGACCAGGTCCGGGAGACGTCCAGTGCACCGACCCTTGTAGATCTCACGGTCTTCAGCGGCGATATCACCGTCGAGGCTGTGCGTTCCCGCGTTAGACCACTGGGAATGCGCCTTTTATTTGGCTGCGCAAATGCCTATGTGGACCGCGGCAACAGAAATGTCACGCCGATGGCACTCGATCACCGGCGGGATAGGCAGACCCTCGCGAACATCAGTCGCACTAGAAATCTTATTCTGGGACAGATCTACACCTGGTGGATGTAAGACACGGCCACGGACGCGTGGCGGTCAAGATTTGCACCAGCGCTCATTCTTGCAAGTCCAGTATGGCGCTGTCATCCCTTGGGGCGGGCAGAAAGATTCGAGGCTGGTTCTCCCGCGGCTGATCATCGGTCATGCGATACATCATGGGAACCTCTTCGTTAGTCGCGCACGTCGGCTCGAGTCCAGCCAAGCTGAAACATCCCCAAGAATTGTTTTGGCCGCCCACGACGCGACGACGGAACCGTGCATGGCCAGCGCAGAAGCTGCGCATCCCTGGCAAAACTACGCGGTGCGCCACGGTTCCTCGCGCGCGCGTGGACGCGCGCGCTGGCGCGTCCCAACAGGAAGGCAAGCGGCGCCGCTGCCGGGATCATCCCTCTGAT